CGAAATAAAGTTTAAAAGCTGAAAGAAATCTAAAATATAATTCTTAAAAATTAAATACTTAAAATCCAACTCCAAAACCTCCATAAAGAATCCTTCAATAATTTAACAACTCGGGAATCCATCTCTAGTGGACCCCTAATAAAAACTCACACTGGAAGTAAAAACTGAAGATAAAATCCAATTCTAACATCTGGAAAGAAATCTTACGTCGTCGGTAGAATAGAAGATCGTCTCTGCTCAGCTCGAACAAGCCCTAAGACTGGAAACGTTCGATACCTGAAAAATGATAAGTGGGTTAAGCCCACGAGCAAGTTCTATACTACTACAATCCAAGCAGAGACCCGATACGCATGTACATCCTAACCAATCCAACAATAACTAAATAGTCCGTAGATATATATATAATCACACTACGGGACTCTCCCTGGACTACAGGCCCATCTCAACCTGACTAGTAGGCACCATGCAATACGCACTTGAGGTGGGCATGACTACCTAGACCTAGCAGGGTAGACATCCAACCATCATAGCCAACTATGCATCCCCATGCATATACGCTCCCTAGCCAACGACTCTAAGACTCAGGCTCATATCGTGGCACTATAAATATATATTTAAATTCCATTCCAATACAAAGTGCCACTCAACTATTTAGTGATCTGACACAAAATACAGGTAGGACTTAACTTTTGTAATTAATCCATCCCTTAATCCGAAGTAGGAAGGACTTAGCGTTTTTGAGCTAATCCCCCTAGTATGTCACCAGCCCATACCAGTGCATACAATCCATCCATCTAGTGGTGATATTATAAATGATGGTAAACATTTCAATATCAACATATCCAATATAAGCATAACACGAATATATAAATAGCACGTTTGTTCAATACTACCAGTATATGATTCTCTACCATTTAAAACGCAGAGAAATGAATATAACCATTCTGTAACCCACAATAAGCATAATAATAATAATAACAAAATTAACATGCTTACCTGTAACTTCTCCACGACATCCAGCAAATTAATATAAATAAATTATTTGAAAACATCAATTAGTTCCTTATAAATCATTAACCGAATTTATATAAATTGACATGCTTAATCTCATACCACTATTACATGATATAAACATAAAATTCCTAATTCAATTGCTAATTTAAAAATAAATAAGCAACATGAATCATTTATATCAAAGCCGTCACACAAACTTTCTTAAGTGTTCCAAACTGTTCCTACCTTAGCCTCTTATGATGCTTTATGTGTTTCCATGTCTTCTGAACACGTAACAAGGATTTATACATTACTAAATACTCCTAGAACCCCTCATAATATAATCTGAAATTTTAAAAATTGAACCACAGTAGCCTAGGTTCGCAGAAAAAAATAAAAACTGAAAATCATCAAAGGAGCCGCCTCCACACAAGGTGGAGCCGCCTCTAGGCCCTAAAGAGCCGGCTCTACCTAAGGTAGAGCCTGCTCTTCTTGAAATAGAGCAGGCTCCTCCCCTTATGCGTCGTCTTCTCCAATTCCGGCGGTGTCCGGCAACTATATTCCTCCAACTCAAGTTTATTACTGATTAAAACTAAGTCCTAGAGTGTTCCAAAATTAATTAAATTAATTGATCATTAATCAAATTCAATTGGAACAAGAATTACACAAAATAGATTAAAATAAGCAAAATACTTAATCGGAAACACATACTGTTTTAAACAAATTTCATGCAACTAAGCAAATTAATTTAGCTTTTACTCATCCTGGGATTGTGTTAGAGATGCAAAGAACATAGGCCAAAGAGATAGAGTTAGTTATAAAACTTGCCTGTGAGATTCGGTTCAAAAATCTCAACGTCTTTCTTCTAAGTTTTTCCGGCGATCCTTCGGTTTTGTCCCAGACTTCTCTATACATTTCTTGTTTTCCGTATGCTGTGAATAGGTTTCTCCAAAACCCTAAGGAGAATTATTATATATTTTTTATAGGAAAAACTAAACCTATGTTCAACTAAACCCTAAACTGAAACTTGGCCCATAAAACACAACCTAGTTTATAAACCTTGTCGGCTAAATACGTGACTTAAAAAACACATAAAAACCTAATTTAATAAAGAGCACATTTAACCTAATCCAGTTACAATAACCATGCAATTAAAATAATTAATCAAATGACAATTAGCTAAAATGAGCAACCAATTAAAATACAATAACATCAAATCAAATGAACTATTAAATAAAATAATTAAATTAAATAACCAAATAACACCAGTCATTTAGATAATGCACAATTAACAAATTAAAACGCAATTCAACAATTAAATAAATTGCAGGACTATCCCTTTAAAATTAGGAGTATTACAATCATCATCATAAGAAGAATCATCATCAGAAAAAGAAGTATCATTAACCTTAGAAATTGAAACTTTTATTGTTTTACCATTCTTTTTATCTTTGGACTCTTCCTAGCAACAAGGCTATTTTTAGGACTTAGACAAACTGTTGATGTATGACCTATACCCCCACATGTCTAACATTTAATCTTAGTTTCTTTAGACTCCTCTTCTCTCCTTTTATCTTGTCTCTTACTTCCCCTAGATGAAGACTCTCTATTCCTAAACCTTGACTCACCCCCTTTCTTAAATGCATTCATCTTTTTAGACTTGCTCATATTTCTGAACTTCCTAGTGACGAGAGCGATTTCTTCATCAGACTCACTTTCATACCTAAACTCAGACTTGGAAGACCCAAACTTTGAAGCTTTTAGGGATAAGTGTTTAGGCTTTTGGGAATTTTCATAGTACTTCATCTTATAGTTTTTAATATGACCTAAAACCTCATCAACTTGCATGGTAGTGATGTTTTGAGTTGCTTGCAGTGTTTCAACTTTGATTCTGAACCTTTCAGGGAAGGACCTAAGGATTTTCTTGTCAATTTTGTTATCTGTCACTTTCTTCCTTAGGTTTCGAAGGCCATACACAATATGGTTAAGTTTCATACAAAACTCAGAAAAAGTTTCATCTTCTTCCATCTTAAGATTTTCAAATTGAAACACAAGCATCTCAATCTTTGAGGATTTGACTTCATCTGTACCCTTATAGGTAAGTAGAAGTATGTCCCATGCTTCCTTTGCAATTTTACAATGAGCAATACAAGCTAACTCATACATATTGGACAACAGATTTGAATAAAGAAAACAAAGTTTTTGTGTTTCTTTCTTGAGCATTATTCTCAGCTTGAGTCCACTCAGACTCTTCCTTTTCAATAGTAACACTATCCTTTGTGACTGTAGGTTTTTTATAACCTTTTTCAATTACAGTCCAAACATATTTACCTTGAGTCATAAGAAAATCTATCATGTTAATTAGGTTTCCAAAAAGCATAGTTATCACGATCAAACAAATGAGTACATTGAATAAATCCACCGTCCTTAAGAACGCTATTCATATCAAATTTTGAAAACAAAAAAAAAAAACAGACTTTTATTTTTATTAAAAAAAAATTCTACAAGGAACAACTCAATGTATAAAGGATGGCTTTGATACCACTTGTTGAGTTTGTACGCAACAGAATGGTTGTGAAAAATAATATGGATAATTTACCTAGAAGGATGGTGAATAAATTTAACTTACTCCATTATCCAATTTTTACTTATTTTAATTTTATCAAAATAAAACTAAAATCAAAACACAAAGTAAAAATAAAGTGTAAGTAAAAGTAAATAGAGTTTGAGAGATGACTCGAGGATTTTTAGCAAGGAAACCCCAATTGGTAGAATAGGCCAATTGTTACGAAAAAAACCTCGTTAGAATGTGCAGTCCAGATAAAAACGATCCACTATATTTGAAGCAAATTACACCGAACTTTGATTCAGGCTCACACCCTATCGTTCTACCAAAAACCAATCGCTGAGAATCCCTGACTTTGCGACTCCCCTGTCCAACAACACTCGACCTCAGGCTTACTCTTGATCTTTGTAGAAGAATTGCAGGTACATCAAACAACACTCCATGAATGCTTTGACCCCTTCAAAGTGTGACCGTGTCACCCCTTTTCTTCAAGATCTGAATTTGATGAAGAACGAATGAATTCTACTTTTCGGAAATTCTGAATCTTCAATTATGCTCCAATTCCGATGAGATAGAGAACAACACTCCTAAATCACTCTTGTGTTTATGTATGTGCTCTCAAAAATAAAATCAGAAAAATCAGATTGATTTTCTGAATAAAAATCTCTTTCAAACAATTCTCTCAATTAGAAAAATATATATTTTCAAGCCTTAAAAGTTTAAGACAAAACATATATTTATAGACTTTTGAAAACTTAATTGTACTTGGAAAACAAGTCAATTTCATGTATAAGATTTTGGAAGAAAGTCTATACCAAATAGGAAATTTAGACAGAATAGGAAACTAAAATCCTAAACAATAAGGGAAGGCTTAACAGTTTGAAAAAATTCTGTTTTGAAAACTTTGAAGAAACATACCACGTATGTATAGTGTCCTAAGTGGGAAACATTCCTAGAGTGTTGGTCATGCCCTTTTTGTAGATCATAGTTTATCAAACTTGAACAACTTTCCAATTCCGTAGTCGATCTCGATCTCGATCTTGATATGGTAACTTGAAAATTACAACTCGATCGGACTTGTTTTGACATCGAAAGTAATCAATTACAGAATTTATATCTCACAAATGTTAGTTTCAATTGACTTAAATTGTAGATGGAAATTTATATAAACAAAAACAAATGCATGATATTTTTAAGAGAAACTTTAAAAACAGTGTTATGCTGTACAATCATACATATGATGGAAAAGTAGGTGCTTATTTATCACAAGTACAACAATATATAGCATGACTGAAAAATTTAAGCAACTCCATTACTAAGAAGAATAGTAATTGAAATTTTTTTCTAACTTTTGTTTCTTATTTGCACACTTTCAGAACAAAAGAAGCACCAGAAAGAGTCGATTTGAGACACGACAACGATAACATAAACATATTTTTTGTGTTCACATTCACCTCCATAGAAAATTTAAGCAGTTGTTTCAAGAAATGGATAATCAGTGTAGCCAATAACAGGATCTGGTGTATAGAATGTGTCTCTGTTGTACTTGTTGAGAGGCGCATCAAGCTTGAATCTCTTTGGCAAATCTGGATTGGCCAAGAATAAACGGCCATAAGCAATAAGATCTGTGCGGTTCTCAGCCAAAGCTTTGATACCATCTTTCCTGTCATAACCCCCGGCAACAATGAAAGTACCATTGAAAGCCTTTCTCATGGGCAGAAGACTATGGGGGCATTCAACTTTTTCTCCTTTAGTTTTCATCCTAGGCTCAACCATGTGACAGTAGAGAATACCATATTTATTCAATGATTCAGCCATATAGAGGGCGAGAGCCTCCGGGTTTGAGTCTCCTGATTCCATGTAATTTGCAAAGGGAGAAAGCCTTAATCCCACCCTATTTGCTCCTATCTCATTAGTGATAGCTTCAAGTATTTCTAGAGCGAATCTGCAACGATTCTCCAGAGAGCCTCCATACTTGTCTGTGCGGTCATTCACTTGGTCTTTCATAAACTGGTCTATTAGGAAACCATGAGCCCCATGGATCTCAACTCCGTCGAAACCTGTGTATCATTGAATCAGAATATGAAGAGTGACATTTTAAAACTCTAAAGTTGAAGAAAAACTTTATTTTTTATTAGTGTCTGAATGTAGCTTCGAAAGCTTACCAGCTTCCATAGCGTTCCTTGCAGCAAGTTTAAAATCATTGACAACTTGGGGAATTTCATCTGTAGTCAGGCGTCGTGGAGGTGAAAATTGTGCCACTGGCTTGTCCGTACAAGATATAGTACCTTGCCCATATAAAAAAATGCAAAAAGTTAATTCTTGTGTTATCAACTATAGTGTATTTAAATATATAAAAATGCCACCGCTGAAAACTATAATGCAAATGGTGTTGCCTATGAATTCTGTTACACAAACAAGTAAGTTATTTTTACTTTTTCAATAGGAGAAAAGAATCGTAGACTACACCCTTAAGAAATATGATGATGAGTTATTTAAGTCAATTCAAACTTCTGGTGAAATCATTATGGGCGATCCAACACGGACTATGTGATGTATATATCCCAACAACTAAAGTACCTTTAAATATACCCTTAAAAAATAAAATAAAATAAAATAAAACATTTAGGTCTTGATTTACATTCACAAAATATTTTTTTAAAATTTAAAAAATAAAAAATTATTTTCAGAGATCTATGAAAATCAATTATACGAAAAAAAAAAATTATAAAATAATTTTCAAAAAATTGAACCGGTGTTCTAATTTAAAAATAAAATAAAATATTATTTTTAAAATTACAAGCATGACTTATGGACCTATTGATATTTCTTATGTTTGATTGATGTATATCCCAAGTAATGATTAGTTAAAAGTTATACTTGACAAAAAGAAATAAATGAGGTAAGAACCAAAAAATAATAATAACACCACCTTGATTTGAAAATTGAAACTCTATCCTATGGGATTGATTAGTGAAAAGTTACAAAAGGGAATAAAAAAGTAAAAAAGTAAAAAAATAGATACCTTGCTTTGCAGCCCTCCCCACATGCCCAAGCTGACAAAAGAAGATACCACCTTTGGCATGAACAGCATCTACTATGGGTTTCCAGGCTTCTACTTGCTCCTTTGTCCATATACCAGGTACATTTGGGAACCTATATATAGTCATGAAGAAAGCAAAACTATTTATGAAACTATGAAGAAATTAAGCAAATCTATGAACCCAAAGAACTGTTAATTACTTATATACCCTTTGCTTGCGGTAGAAACTACAGTGGCTTCTGCTATGAGAAGTCCCCCTTTGGTGGTTCTCTGGGAGTAGTACAAGATAGCATGTGGCTGAGGAACATGTCCAAAAGATCTCAACCTTCCCAACGGTGCCAAGACAATTCTGAAAATTGTGGAGGGCAAAAACAGTTATATTACATTCTTTGTTGAGCTTTGAATGGAGTTTTGATATATAAGACACACACATATATATACCTATGGGAAAGTTGGAAGTTTCCCAATTTGTATGGAGTGAGAAGAGGGATTTGGAGGCCATCATGCTCTTGCTCTTGGCCTTCTTCTGCTACTGCTTTCTTTTCCATTTTTTTTACTTTATATATTTTCCTATCAACACTGAAAATGAGAGAATGGTTGGAGGACAACTAATTAAATTGGCCACTTAACTACTTATATATATAGATTGTAGACACGAGAGTTGTAATATGAATTTGGCACCTAATAATTTATCCTAAAAGAATTCCTATCTGAATTTTCCTTAGCAAACCTTTTTTTTTTTTTGTTGGGTTGTCTTTGTTTTTCTCCTTCCTCCCTTGGTCATAGACAATGCTTGTAAGGGTTGGATGAACTTCATCCATTCTACCGATGGTTCAATAGATTTAAAATAAATGTTTAAAAATAAAAATTAGGATTAAGTTCTTAACTATTCGGGTTTAACTCGTTACTCTGAGATTTTACTTTTAACTATTCGGATTTAACTCATTACTATGAGATTTTACTTTTTCTTTTTGTTCTTGTTTTACTGTACATCATGCACTGAAATTAAGAGTTCCAGTATTAGAATCTAATTCACAAGAAGAATCATATTGCAAGTAACGGGCGCATTCAATAGTTTATATAGAGCTGATGTAATATATTGTGAACATATATATTATAAAAATAGTTTATAATTACTCATTAGACATGCAATACAGGCAATAAAAAAAAAAAAATTTCTGAAGATCAGACCCTTTTTGCACTCGAACAGTCACACCTAACAAAAATATTTGGTTGATGCCACAATATCATTCCTTTTTTCATTGAAAATTAGATGGTTGGGACGTCTTTGTTTTTTTCCTCCTTCCTGCTGTCAGAGGATGACGACTAGGCGGCTGTTGCTTTTTCAACGACTAAACTAAATATGTGTTGAAGTGACGTCATGTATTGTCACGTTTATGGTAACAATTCACTCCACCGTATGATATGATATTTTTGTAATGATCCACTCTATTACATGGTATGATATTATCCGCTTTAAATCTGAGGCCGCACGATCTTATTCTTGGGATTCATCCCAAAAGACCTCACACCAATTGGATTGGAGATAACACACTTACACTTCACATTTTCCTTCCCCAGGTTATGTGAGACTGTGCACCCAAAACTCATCAGTGTGGTAGCCTGACAGTGTCTCTCGCACCCGCTCACGACACACCCGCTTACAAAGTCATCACATTTATAGTCTGAGTTGATATAAAATTAGAAAGAAAAAAAAAAAAAAAATACTATACTTAGCTAATAACATGTTTTAAAATTCAAGAGCAAAATTTCCAATATGAACTTGGTGAAACTGGAGAATTGAGTTAGAAATTTTTCTGATGGGCTCTGGAACATTGTCACAGTCCAACTCCAATCACCATTAAATATATAAGAAACTAATTTGAATAATGCTCAGAGTGGACGGATCGCCCGGCCAAAATTTTTGCCAAAATTTATATATGGTACTAAATTATAAATATTAATGGTGATTTTTTATAGAATAATTAAAGCAGCCCTTTTAAATTTTTTTATTTATGATTCTCTTATTATTATTAATAGTAGTTTGTAAATAAATTTAAATTAAGATATACATTAAAATAAATCGGTCTTTGTTATTGTTGTCAATGTGTATACTAAAAAAAATTATAATTATTTATTTTACTTTTATATATTAATTTCATATTATTAATTTAACCGGTAGATTTTTTTTTTTGACTTTGTCCCATGCTGACATAGTTAGTCCGTCATTGTTGTAGTCATTGCTATACCCACTGCTTTAAGAGTGGAGACATAAAGGCAGGTGGTGGTGTGACTTCAGATGACAATAGCCATGATAACACAAGATGTCCACTTTTTTAATATGATAATAAATTTTAGAGGGGTAACATAAGTCAGCATAAGTTTTTTCGACGCTCTATATTCCACCTTTCACATTTTTCGCACTCTTGTTTGTTTTTCTTACTTTGCATGACTTAAGTTTTGATATTTTTATACTCTCGTTTTAATTTTCGCCTCCTTTTTATATGACTTGGGTCATTCAGTTTGCATGACTTAAATTTTGATATTTTTATACTCTCGTTTTAATTTTCGCCTCCATTTTATATGACTTGGGTCATTTGGTGTACAGTTTGTTTTTGCTATATTGATGTCAAAATTACTAGGAGACGGGGGCGTGTGGTAGTAGCAAAAGGTGGAGCCCACAACTTGAATATCAATTGCAATCGTCACACATCACACAGGCTTGTTGCTAGCTGCTTTATTATTATTATTTTTATAAAGCCGCCATATTGTTTATTTTATAAGGTCTGCCTCTTAGCTAACCACCAAGCCCCTTCTGCCAATTTAGATGACAATAGCCATGACGTACACATGTTTACGTACACATGTTTACGTACACGTATTTACTCTTTGAATGTTTGAAAAAGAGACTCAATAAAGCTCCTGGATCTCATTAACGAGACAGATAATTGACGCCATCCATTATTGGGTTCAGTGAATATAGACAAGGCAGTCACTCAATAACGGGTATAGTTCTAAAAAATGGCATTCCTAGATTGTGTCTGCCATGATAAAGATTTGGATGGTCCCGTTGAAACGCTAAATAAATGATAAATTAGAGAGGAAGCTGTTGTAAATTTTTATATATAAATAATAAAAAAAATTATTTTAGGGTAGCACTACAATTTGATTATTATTGATACGTGGAGTGGATTGAGTTAAACTTTTTAATTGATGGTCTAATTAGGAATACGATTTTATATCATTGGATTATAATTTTTTAATTCATTTGGTATGATTTAATTTTAACCATTGATATTTAAATTTTTAAGATAGCAAATGAGACTTGGGTATGTTTATTTGTAAAGAAGTTATCCCTTATTTTTATATACAAGGATTTTAAAACTCTTATTCAGTCCTATCGTATCGACAACTCTCATACGGGTAAAGTATTCAAATATTTTGGAGGATCACAAAAAAATCTGAAGGTCGTCCTTCAAAATCTAAAAGTATCTGTGCTTTAATTATCAATCAGGTAAGAGACTAAATTTTCTCTTTAATTAATTGTAATATTCTTGATTTCTACATGTAAATTATTTGATTAAAATTCAACAATTGGTATAAGAGCACAATTAGGGTTAAGTTTTGTAGAAATCAAAAATAGTAAAGATTAATCCACTTAAAGTATTGTATTTGAATCGGTGTATTATATTAATTAGATTGAAATTAATATTATTTCAAATCGCACCACACGTTAAAAATTCTGTATTTGTACTAGTACATACGAACTCCATGGATATGTAAAGTTTTTGTTTTTAAAAGTTCCGACCATATACTTATATCATATGATGTGCACACCGAACGAGAAACTTTAATCAAGTACATATATTTTGTATTATACACATCAATTAGAATTTGTTTTCTTTTATAAAAGACCATTCAAGTGTAAAAACATATACTCTCTCCGTTTGTTTAGATGTAAAAAAAAATATTTTTTTATTTGTTAGTATTTGATTGTCGTAAAATATTTAGGAAGCAAAAAAATATTAAAATCTAACAATAATAATTTATCCATCAATTTTTGACAAGTTATTTTATCTGTCCCGTCTGATAGAATCGGCTTCAACTTCGACTTAGAACTTTGCCGAATAAAAAAATAATAATAATAAATAAAATAAAATAAATTTAAGAGAAAAATATTTTACATCGAAATAAACTAAGCCTAATTAACTTTTATGTTTTTTTTTTTCTACAAATACTTAACTTTTATGTTTTTTTTTTTATTTATCTATAAGCTTGTGATTCCATCCGGTTAGTTTTGCTGGTAGATAATGAGGGAATAATTTCCTTCACAGATGGCCAAAACTCTCTCTAACAGGACGAAAATCAAGCAGATCTAATGGTTTAAAGAAAATTTGGGGACTTTAGAAGCAACACTTGCCCAGGGGATTTAAATTATAGACGCAAAAAATTATTGGTTATGGCATGAATGTCAAAAAGAAAAGAAAAATTATATATATATATCCTGACTGGTGTTTTTAGATTAATGGGTATAAGTTTTCTTTTGAGTTATGATGAGAATTTCTTTGGTGCGTGTTTCTTACCAATTGCTATTTATCAATCTCTGTACTCTCTGTTTGTTATATTTGTGTTGTTAATCTGTCTATTCATTTTATTTCCTTTTATATTAATCTTTTATCAAACAATCAGTATGAATAAAGGAATCAATAAGAATTTGCATATAATAAACTAGATACAATCAAAATTTCTTTTTCACTCATGGCGCAGATGAACATTTTAACTGGACTAACCACTCATTAATTTTTTTCTAAACCTTCTCTATGCCAAAAAAAAAAATTGTCTATTCTTTTATGTGCGAATTTCACATTTATTTTTTGTGATTCACTGCATTTACTAGGTATTTTACCACTTAATAATAATTCATTGGTTATTTTAAATTAGATGGCAACGAGGAAAAAAAAAAAAAAGATAAAACAAAAATAAAGATTATGTACCCAATCAAGAAATAGAATGATTTATTCATATGGTATTTAAGAAATAGTTGTTCACTCTATTTAAGGATAAAATAGGTATTTCAATAGGAGAAGAGCTTCAATAAATGTTTTTCCAAACATACCTAAAAAATTGTTGTGATATAAAAAACTATTCTAAAATATGCGTTCCAAACACTGATTACAAGCCAAATGAAAGTGATAACTCTTACTTCTCTTTTTCTATTATGTAAAAGCAAAAGCAGAAGCTATGCCAAACGAGCTCATAAGGGTTTTAAAACTCTTATTCAGTTATATCGTATCGACAACTCTCATACGGGTAAAGTATTCTAATATTTTGGAGGATCACAAAAAAATCTCAAGGTCGTCCTTCAAAATCTAAAGTATCTGTGCTTTAATTATCAATCAGGTAAGAAACTAAATTTTCTCTTTAATTAATTGTAGTATTCTTGATTTCTACATGTAAATTATTTGATTAAAACTCAACAATTAGTATAAGAGCACAATTAGGGTTAAGTTTTGTAGAAATAAAAAATAGTAAAGATTAATCCACTTAAAGTATTGTATTTGAATTGGTGTATTATATTAATTAGATTGAAATTAATATTATTTCAAATCGCACCACACGTTAAAAATTCTGTATTTGTACTAGTACATACGAACTCCATGGATATGTAAAGTTTTTGTTTTAAAAGTTCCGACCATATACATATATCATATGATGTGCACACCGAACGAGAAACTTTAATCAAGTACATATATTTTGTATTATACACATCAATTAGAATTTGTTTTCTTTTGTAAAAGACCATTCAAGTGTAAAAACATATACTCTCTCCGTTTGTTTAGATGTAAAAAAATATTTTTTTATTTGTTAGTATTTGATTGTCGTAAAATATTTAGGAAGCAAAAAAATATTAAAATCTAACAATAATAATTTATCCATCAATTTTTGACAAGTTATTTTATCTGTCCCGTCTGATAGAATCGGCTTCAACTTCGACTTAGAACTTTGCCGAATAAAAAAATAATAATAATAAATAAAATAAAATAAATTTAAGAGAAAAATATTTTACATCGAAATAAACTAAGCCTAAGTTTTTTGTGTTGCTATAAGTTTTTAGTATTGACTACTGTTTTAGTAAAGGATGCACAAAGTGGAAAAAGAATGAAAAAATCTTAAATATTTGAATAGTAAAGCTACCGTAAAATTTT